CAGAAGATATTGGAAAACTTAATTCTGTTTTCTTTCTACACAGGCCCTATCGAACAGATCCTGTAACTAAGCTGCTGAATTATAAGAGTTATGTTCACCTATAGGAAACCATTGAGGAATATCCTTCCAGTCTAAAAGTCACAAGGGAATTACTGGAATATGTTAACTACAACAATCTCTATGATCCAAAGAAACTTGATGAAAGTTCAACTTACATACATCATGAAAAGTTCATAAGACCGGAAGTTGGAGAAAGCTCGACTCAAGCCACACAACAGAAACCAGATTCTCCAATGGAAGCTGAATTCTCTAAAGGACAAGTGGAAGAAGCTAATATGAGATTAGCAGATCACACCTACATGATGGATGATAGATGACAGCGTGAGTCATCTCGCTATGAAGATTGCTTTTCTGATGAAAATTTATCTGATCAAAATATATCCCCCCTCTCATGAACTCATTTGCAAAGACTAAATGGACAAGTGTCCTTCAAAGACCACAAGCATGCTTATGAATAGTAAATTTTTGTCTTTTTGTGCAATAAGACTACAATAATGTAATCCATAAGTGATAAGTGTGTCAGACTTTTGAAAAAGGTATTCATATAATATTAAAAATGTCATGCTTGTAAATAGTGTTGCTTTTGTCCTATATGTACCTCCTTGGCTATAAAAGGAGGGCTCTTGTAACATATTTTCATCAAGCATTCACAAATAAACTCTCTTGTGCGCTTAAGAACAAACATGTTCTAAAAATCTCTTCTTTCTCCCTCAAAGCTTTAATTATTGTATTCATATCATAATTCCCCCATAGATGCAAGTATGCTTTACACCTGCCTCTAAATGAGGATCTTGTGTATTAGAAAACATCTGACCATTGATCCATACTACGGTCCTTACTTTTATGAAATTTCAGTTTTAATTGTTAGTCTGTGTTATGCCTATGGTTGGATATTTGAGGACGATACAGTTAAGGTTGTGTTTCATGGCATGTAAGGCTCCCGGACAGTGTGGTATCAAAGCCTGTAAAGAAAGAAGGGGTGCATATGATATGAATATAATAAAGAGAGTGAGTAAGGGAGAAATTCTTCTAAAGTGACAAATAATAACTCGTGGTGGTATCCAAAAACACCGACGTCACTTCTTAAACATCATTTATGTCTAGCTCTCTGACTTCCTTTGAAATCATCTGACATTAGTCGATACAAACAATAATATTACCAGGACAAATGCTGCCAATACCACAAGATTTAAGTATTTAAAATGTAGTAACTTTAAGAGACAGGAATGAAGATGTAAATGTCACTAGAAAAAAACAAAATAAATATAAATGACAGTGCTGAGAATCGAATCTAAATATGATTTAAAGGTAGAAATTGTTCAATTTTTTTTTATGATTGGAGTAAAGTTCCTTAATTATATTTAAACTTAGTCTTATTTTGTTTTTTTAGTTTGACTATCTTAGTGCTCCTTTAATCTAATTATTTGTAAAAAATGTGTTATTTTACTATACAAATTTTGGTTTCTAACCACACAAAAAAATATCAACGTCATTTAAGTTTTTTTAATACCATCTATATGCTCATTGTTTTGAAATACTACTTGCTAGAATCTTAGAAAAAGCCAAAAAAATTTCTGCCATCACTTGATTCTCTATGTTGCCATCAATCCTACCAATAATTCTTTTACACTTTTTATCCTTGCCAATTAAAAGCCAACAAATTGTTTTCTCATAACCCAAAATCATAGCTCATGCTATCCCAATGAAAGCCTGTCAAATATCCATCCACTACTAACTTGCAAACTTGCCCCATCCTCTATGTACCATTCTTATTATTCTTATATACTGATTTTTATGAAAGAAAAAATGTTGTGCCGTTTCAAAATTTATTATTTTAATTTGAAAAATAGATTATTATTTATTTTTAAGAGACGCTTTGAAGTTTATGATTTTAGGATGAGCTCAATCTCTATTTAAACATTATTTCTAGAACATTGAATAATGTTGAAGTCAACCTGACGATAGTGATAATATATAAAATTTATATTTAATTATTTAAATTATTTATAATTTATATTGATATTATTTTTTATTCTTATTTAGTGGATTCTTATTAGTATTTTAATATTTAATTTTATTATCCATAAAAATTGTTATATAATGTAGTCTCAATAAAATATTAGATATGAGTGAAATCAAAAATACTTTTTATTCTATTAGCTAGGTGGTTACATCTTGTCTTAGTTTATAATTATTATTGTGATCCATTTTCTTAGTTTACATATTGTCTTTTATTTTTTGGGCTCTATGCTTGATAGAAGATTAGATAAAATTTTCAAGATGACAAACATCTTCAAAGAATCTCTTTCTTTCACTTATTTTAGTCTTCCGATTTTTAAAGTAAAAGTCAAATCTTTTCATCTTCAATCTCTTGTGGATAAGACTATATCCGGATTGTCTAATTGGAAAGGGTCTTAATTATTTATGGCGGGGCGGATTATGCTTATGAAATCGATTATTCAAAGCATGCTTACTCACTATATTTCTATTTATCCTTGGCATGTTTTCCTCGTCAAAAAAATTGGAAAAGCCTCTCCGAATTTTATTTGGAGTGAGGATGTTTCTAAAAGGAAGCTTGTCAAGAAAGTGTGTACTCTCACCAGCAATGAGGGTCTTGGTTTGAGATCTTTGGTTCCCTTGAATGAAGCTGCTAATTTCAAGCTTGGTTGGGATATGCTGAATAGCGATGAATCCTGGGCTATCCAATTGAAAGCTAGAACTCAGAGATCTTTCAGTATCATTAGACATCATATTTTCTCTTTCGTTTGGCAAGGCATTAAGTCTGAATTACAGCTCCTCACCGATAATTGTTCGTGGGTTTTGGGGAATGGTAAACTCATTCAATTTTAGAACGATTCGTGGTGCGACTCTCCTTTAATCTTGGAGACTAGCAAGGAGACTCTTGTTTCTCAAGGAATCAACTTATATTTGAAAGTCTTTAATTTTATTCTTGATGGTAATCAGAGTCTTCCTCCTTCTTGGAATTTTCCTTTTCTCACCAATTGATTGCCTACTTTGCTTGCCTCGGAGGTTCAGAAAGTTGATTTTTTTAATTTGGACCAATTTTACTTTCGGGTCTCTCACCTTGAAGAATGCTTATCTTTTCAAGTCCTCCTTTACTCTTAATATGCATTGGGCTAAGGAGGTTTAGTGTAAGGACATTCCCCTTTCTAAGTATCTTTTGGTTTGGAAGTTGATTCACCAAAAGCTTCCTACGGACGATTTGCTCAAGGCCCGTGGATGCAAATCTGCTTCGCTTTGTTGCCTTTGTATACCCAATAAAAAATCCATTCAACACTTGTTCTTTGATTGTGCTTTTTCCAAAAGCTTGTGGAATTTGTTTGGGAAAATGGTTAACCTTTCCATTAGGTCTTTTGATTTGAAAGACATGTTTCTTTTTTGCATCCATGATCGATCTCAAATTTGTTCTCTGGTGTTAAAGGTTATTCGTGTACCTTTTGCATAATATTTTGATGGCTAAAAACTTGACTATCTTCAAGCTTGTAACTCTTTTTTCGTCTAACAGTATAACCACCATTATGGCGCAAGTTTCTAGTACTGGTAACCATTCTAAGCTCACATCTAATTCTTCTAGGATCTTTTGTTGCTTAAAGCTTTTAGAGTCTCTTCCCGTCTACCTCGCGCTCTTGTTATATCTGAGGTTATTTGAAAACCTCTCATCTTTAATTTAATCAAGTATAATTGTGATGGAGCTTTCAACTATGATACTTTGAGATCCGGCGGATGGGATATTTTCAAGGACCATGATGGGGATTTCATCTTAGTGCTCTCTAAAAGTTTCAACTGCTCCTCTTCCTTACATGCTGAATTTTTTACAATTATTGCAGCTAACGAGATTGCTAAACACCATAGTTGGTATAAGCTTTGGTTAGAGTCCGATTCTCTTTTGATTGTCCAGTTTGTCACCAATAGTCTGATTGTCCCTTGGCAATTTAGGAAAAAATGGAAAGCTTGTTTGAATCATACCTCTTCTATATCTTTTGTTTTAACCCATATTATCAAAACAGAAATAGTTGTGCGAATTATTTTTCTAATATTGGCCTCACAACTAATTTCTTGCCTGTTTTGATTCCATCCCCTTGGAGATTAGAAATGACTTTGTTAAAATTATGCCGGATTTGCCTTCTTTTTTTCTTTCTAGATTTATCTCTTTTTGAATGAATTTTAGTTTTGTCGCTTTTGATGTAGCTCATTTCTTATATATTTTATGATCGTTTATTAAAAAAATTAGAATAACAAACGTGATTATGAATTTATTAAATAAAAAGGCAAGAATTTAATTTATGAAAAAGCGTTAGATTAAGAATGATAGTTAGAATAATAGACATGATTATGATTAATTATATTGTATTTTAGTTTAGTGTTTGATAGGGCATCAAATTTTAATAAAATAATTATAAAACTAATTTTATAATGTCTATACACAAAATTATTCTGACAATGATATGACTAAGAAAATAAATTATTAATTTAATTTTCTAAAAATATTAATAATAAACTAATTTATTTTAAAAAAATATTATTGGTAGAAATAAAAAATATGAATTCATTTTTTTGACAATTTAAATATAAACATTTTTTGTAAGAATAGTTTTGTCATTCACATATAATGTATATCTTATATTTACTCATCTTACCTAAATTTTTAATGTAATTATTTATTTTCTTGTGATTTCTTTTCAAAAGTAAATAAGTTGTTTCTTTAGTTATGTCAATTGATTTTTGAAAAATAAATATTTTATTAATTATTAAATTTTTAGTATTTAAAAATTATTATAAATAGATTTAAAAACACATATATGTAAATATTTGATGAGTATGTTGATCAAATAACTTTGAAAAAAAAGAGAGATATGAATTGGTTATATATTTAGAAAGCTACTGATTATATATTTTTTGTCAATATTTATTTTTTGCAGCGTGGAAATCAATCAATATCAAAAATCACTATGGGAATTATTACAGTGGTGTGGGTAACTGCTGGAGTTTGTTTCTTCATAGCATTCCCTTCCAATTCATGGCTTTGGCTAGTTACTATCTTTAAGTAAGATATATTTTTATTTCTATCATATTCTGTCAATAAATAAATAACTTTTTACCAAAACAAGTTAACGAATAAAATAAATAAAACTTTATCAAATAAAAAATTAGTCATCCAATTAAACTGTAGTTAAATCAACAGAAAGTTTAATATTTTAACGTATGGCATGCATATGTCACTAAAAATAAATATTTGGTTATATTTCAAATTATATCTTAATATTGAAATGAATATTTTATGCAGCACAATGCAAGTACTCCTAGCATCTATCAAATATATTCCTCAGGTTAGAATTGATTTCTTTCATTACGTTTTCTGTATTGAAAAGTCATATGCATGTAACATTTTATAATTAAAATGTAAATCTTTCATAATAACGTTTGAAGTATAGTGAATTGGAGAACGTCTCTTTTTTCATAATAGACCCGTTTGATTAAAATGAGTAAACAAGTCCTTTTAGACTCATCTTTTATTTTATTATTCTTACTCGTTTGTATTTGCTAACATCCTCTATGTGTACATTAAATTTGTTTGAGATCATTTATGTTGGTTATCATTGTTCTTTGCACCACGTATCAAAGTTCTTTGTATAGTTAATATATCATCAAGTTTTACAACAAGTGCCAATCCAATATGGGAAAAAAAGGTTATGTTTACGAGTGAGTCTTATGGTATCTAAATGGGATATAAATTTTTTTTCCGCATACAATAATTTGGAGTTGTAAAAAGTGAAAATAAAAAATGTATTGAAGAATTGATGGTTGAGGCATTAATGCTTGCACGCCTAACATAAATAGAGAACATCGAGATGGTAGATAAGGCAAGATGTCAAATTAGCTTATGCCTTAGAGAATTTTTGTAAGAGAAGTTGCGAGAGAGACGAATATGGCTCGATGTGGATTTTTGTTTTTAAAATTAATGTATATGAACAAGTCTTTGGCTGACTAACATGTTGAATCTAAAATAATAATTCTAATCATTACGAATGGTAGATAACAAATCCATTAAGGATCAATTTCCATTATTTCATAAGATTATTGATAACTTGATAAATATTTAGGTGAACATTAATGATTATGATGAGGTTTTAATCTTGGTAAGCTCATCTACTTGATGTTTTCAATACTTCAAAGAAGTTCGAGTAAGTTTGTGGCCTGAGTCTGAGATTTTGGACAATTAGGGTTCGAGTAAGTTTCTGGGCCGAGTCTGAGATTTTGGACAATTAGGGTTCGAGTAAGTTTCTGGGCCGAGTATGAGATTTTAGACAATTAGAATACGCCTAACATTGATCTATTTACTTCATACATTTTTTAAACTAATAAATTTGTTAATATGCCAAATAAAATCTTGGTCAAGATTAAATCAATTGTAATTAGGATGTTAAATCCCAAAATACAGGCAGCTATGAACTTCATGCTAAAGAGCACAGATGGATTTTGCATTGGAAATGTGTTCTTAGATTTCATCGGAGGAATATCAAACTTTGCTCAGATGGTTACACAATCAATTGATCAAAGTATGATTTTATTTTCAAACTCACTTTAAACACTATCATTTAAAATAATTTTTGATGCATCAATGCATACAATGAAACATTATTAATTTTTATTTTTATCATTCATATAGACTCTTTGGTAAATTTCTCTGGGAACCTTGGCAAAGTATTGTTATCCCTGGTATGTGTTTTTCTCCTCTCATTTATTTTAGTATTAATTTATGTCACAATCATTAATTAATGTAAAAAAAAAACATTTTGTTACACCAAAAAATCCTCAATTGAAATAGTTACTAATGTATATACTATTCAAATTTTCAGGTGACCCTTTTCTTTGATATTCTATTCATGTTTCAACGTTTTGTGCTTTATCCATCAAATAAAACATCATTGATTCCTCTTTCTAAACTCAATGACAAAGTTAAAGAGCCCCTCATAAAGTCTCCTAATCAGCCATTAGCAACAAATATGCATGCAACTGAAAATGATTTAGTTTGAAATTATGTTTGGTCATACTACATATTAATGTATATAATTAGTCTCCTGTATGGTATTAGTATGTACAGATAAAGTTTCTCTATTGCATTTGAAGTCTTACTTCAATGGTAAGAATTCAGGCTTGTAATTTTAAGATACAAAATATAAATATTCTCGAAAGTTATTGTAAAATAATCATTAATGCCACTTTGATTATAATAACTATTTTGTAAATATATGTGAAGAAAAAATTGAAAGGAATTTGATCAGGCGTTGTTGAATAGTCAAGAGTTTATATTATTGACACACAATTCACATCAAGCATTTGCGCTAGTTCTAGATAAGGTATAATATGTCCTTTAATTTGAATTTTAAGAGAAAAATAGTCATAGTCAATACTAGTTTAACATTTGTCTTCAAGTTTTACATGTATTTATCTATAATCTATAATCTATAACATATATAAAGGCAATACTTGATTTTTGGTGTAGTTTTTTTATACCAAATTTACCCTTATTTTAAAATATATAACTTACACAATAACTTTCATTGAACTACTACTATCATCTTTCATATAACTCCCTACTAATAACTTTCCACATAACTTCCATGTAAAATTAATATTAAATAAAAATATATCATTTATATTTATATGTGCGCAATAAAAAAGCGGACAGACGGGCACACGAGTGCCCGTCTGGACGCTAGTATATTATAATTGTAGTACCCTCGTTCCTTAATCATGCTTCTAGTCTCTTAATGGGTAAATTAGGATTGAAGTCTTTTGATTAGTAGAAGTAATTAGAGTACAACATGATTTAAAAATTAATTTAAATGAGCAAGGGCAAAGTTGTATTTTCCCTATTATATATAAAAGTCAAATTTACAAGAGAAACCATTATTTTTATCCTCATTCACCTCCTCGAAAATTCAAAACTCAAGAGTGATAGAGAGAGAAAGAGGGTGTGTGAGTTTGAGGAGGATCGAAGGAGTGTTTGTTGATCAAGAAAATGTATGATGCAACCTTGAGGAAATTGAAGTAGAATCTTCCTCATCATCATCTCCACTCCTTATCACAAATCGAGGTTTCCTTAAGAAGGTAGGGTTCAAGTTAGTTTTGTTAGGAGATAGAAACTTTAAGCATTCTCATGATGAGTAAGGGGGCATGGGGCACTGCTATGGGTCATAGCACACGCTACAGACGACCGTAACAGGCCCTTAGAAAGTATATGGGGAGGGTTTGGGCTCTACTACGGGTGGTCATAGCCCACCCCTGATCCATTTTGAGATTCCTAACTTGGATGATTGATGGCTCTAACTTCCACCTTATTTGTGTATTGATGTGTGGTTGATTAATAGTTAGGGATTAGCAAGACTTTTAGATAAAACATAAGTGGAATAATTAATTAAATGAACAATGAAGTGAGGAAACCCTATTTGGTATAAAATCCCTAGTTTGGGTTATTAGAACATGTAAGCATACCCAAGTTGGTATGAGTTATAAGTATTAGGGTTCGAAGAAAACCAATAATGTATATACATGCGGGGAACACCAAGGTGTTGCACTCCAAAATTTGCCCTCTCGATTCTAACCCTAACTGGCTTATTTTTCTTTCATTTGCATCATCATTAATCATATTATGGCATTGGTGCTTGAGACATGGGATCAAGTTGTTTTTGTGACTCAGGACTTCCTTTTATTCCAAGATTTTAAGCAGCAAGCATCGGAGGCTCCAACATTTATTTTGCTCGGTGATTTGGTATCAGACAGTATTTTTTTCAATAGGATGTTTCGAGTGCAAGAGGGCATTCACAGCTTATTTCAGGTATTATTCAGGTGCAATATCAAATGAAAAGTTTCAGAGGCAAAATTATGCTCAGAACAGGTGGCAACGGTCAATTCTCCAAGTTTCCCTTCTTTTGGCGCTAAATTTGAATTTTTGAATAGGTTAATCGATTAACCATTTGCAAGGAAAAAGTGGTCAATCGATTAACCTAAGTGAATTTTGCCCTAAAATTTCAAATTTCAACACTGCAGCAGTTGCAATCCCACTTTGATCACTTAATCCACATTTGCATCAGTAGAAGGATCTAGAATGCCTCTAGAATTTGATTTATTTTCCAAATTAATTTCACTTCCCTCCAAAAGTTCAAACAATTCCACTCCTAATTCCATTCCTAATACTAACCTTCATTCAAACCCACACTCCAAACCTCACTTTCATTCTAAACCTAGAGCTTATTTAAGCTAATTTGCTCCAAACCTCACACAACTTCACTCATTTTCTAATTTCTCTACAATTCACACTCCAATTCTATCAACTTTTCTCTCATTTTTCTCTCATTCCAAAACCCTCACCAAAGCTCCATAACCAAAAGTTTCACAAATTGTACATTACAATTTTTGAATTCTTGAGCTAAACCTCCATTACATCATCATCCATTGTTCAATTTTAAAGTTGCAACTTATTTGGATCTTGATCAAGTTTTGGAATCACTTCTTGAAGAACTTTTTCTTATTTTTAGATTATTGCTTGGATCTTCAACTTTTCTTGTTAAAGCTTCATAGATCTCTGGTTTTCTTACTTTAATTCACCAAAGCAAATCTCAACTTTGTAGGTTGGTAATTTTCAGATCTAGCTTTGATTTGGCTTAATATTGCATTTCACAATATAGATCCATTGATTTTTGATGTGAATTGGTCCATTGATTGATTTAATTGTTGATCTCGTTGTTTGATTGATTCAATTGGTGTTTGGTTAGTGATATTTGATGTAATTTTCGTGTACAATTGCATGCCTATTCATGTGGATGATTGGATAATTGATTGCTACTGAAAGTGCTTTTGAAATGCTGATTTTCTGCTTCTGGTGCAGTGTTTATCGATTAACCAGTTTGAAGGTAAAACTGGTTAACCGATTAACCATGTTGTTTTAGGTGTTTTTTTTGCTGATTTTCAAAGGGTTAATCGATTAACCACTTTTGCCTTGCAAATGGTTAATCGATTAACACTGATGCAGAATGTGATTTTTGTGCATTTTCAAGCTTGTTTTGATTTCTTTCCACTTTTAAACTTCATTGATTGATATGATGCATATTTGTGGATTGTTCTTGAGCTGTTTCACTTCACTTTACAATATGTATGTGATTCTTCGACACGCGACATATTGATTTTCACGATGCATGTTCATGATTAATTGCTTTGCATTCTTGATGCATTCTTCATGTTGTTTGCTTATTCTTGGTGCTTACCTTCCTGGATTCATGAAACATGTTCATTTTTGCTTTTGATTCCTCAAATGCGTATTCGTTTCAGATGATTAATTGTTGATGAATATGCATGTCGTTCTTGTCAAATGCCTAAGTGTGCAATTTTGTTGAATTTTTTTCATGCTTATTGTCTATACATGTTCATCAATTGATCTTACTTGATGCATGTTCATACTTGATCCTCACAATCTCATATGCATTTGTTGAATTGTTGATGCATAATCATGTGTATCCTTGAATGTCTTGATTACATGCCAATTGTTGCTCAATCTTTGTTGTTTGCAATCTTGATGCTTGGTTTGACTTTGTGATACATGTTCATGATCATCTATGCTTAATGCTTATTTGAATACATACATTGCTACATATATGGATTTCACCCGCTGTCCTGAGCTATACATGCTGTTAAATGCTGCCATGTTTGTCTTGCTGCTTTTTACACCTGTTCTAAAAACATGAGCTGTTAAATGTTGTATCTTATTTTCATTGGATTTTGCCGTTGTTCTGAGCTGAAGCACTGTTGTAGCTATTGTTTTTTGGTTGATTTTATTTATTTTGGCTTGCCTTTGCATGTTCCTTTAGGGCCTCCTAGTCCATTTTAATTTTTGATTAAGTTTGGAGTAGGATAGACATTAAAAGTTGATCCATGCATGATAACATTAGGTTAGTCCATTTCAACTTCAACCTTATGTCCATCCAAACATGATAACATTAGGTTAGTCCATTTCAAACTCAACCTTAGGTCCATCCTTGCATGCTAACATTAGGATAGAGATTCCTTTTATATCCCAACCTTAGGACCACTTTGCATGATAACATTAGCGTGAAGTATTCAATCCTATGTCATAGACGTTAGTGCAATGTGCATCTCAAACAAATTCAACCCACTTCTTTAAAACTCTTGAACAAAGCCAAATCTTTTTGTCCCTCGGGATTATTTTTTCAAACCTTTCAGAAAGGGCATGTTACTTTCGTTCTATCACAAACAGGTATCGACCCTAACTATTAGAACGCGAACTTAGCATCGCTCATAAAAAACACTTAAAAATTCGTAGACCAAACTACGAACGCTCTGATTTCCTCATTCTCTTTCGAATGAGGATACGTAGGCACATGATGACGAAGTCTTGGCGAGTGCCCTTTCCTTTCACCCGTAGTCTTTCGAACTACGTTGACTCTGACTTTCCCATTATACTAGGGAATACGTAGGCCTAGGACGGCGATGTCTTGTCGAGTATCTTTTTTGTCTGTTCCCTTTTCGTTTCCGTTAGTAAGTAGACTTTAGATAAACACACCCTTTGATTAGAACAACAAGAGTGGATCCTAGTTAGTACAATGAATACGGAGGGTGTTAACACCTTCCTCATGCGTGATCGACTCCTGAACCCAAGATTTGGTTGCGAGACCATGCCTTCTCCCTTTTTGAGGTTTTCTTTGATCGTTTCTTTTCCCCCGCCGGGATAAATAACATTTGGTGGCGACTCTTCTGATTTTGCGCTGGTTGTTTTTTACAGTTGCGACAGCTGGCGACTCTGGTTCCTTATGCGATTCAATTCTAGCACTTGTTTGTTTATGTTTCTTTGGGTGTTTTATCTTTATGATTTTATTTACATTATATGTTTTATATTATTGCATTTACTTGCATTGCATCTGTTTATCACTGTCATATTGTTTTGGTTGGTTGTTGTGTTGTTGGGTGGGATGGTTCTATGAAAGATAAGCCCATTACCCAGGCTTGAGTGCACACATAG